ATCATGTCCTAAGATGAATATTTTAAGTAATGGAGCTAATTGGGTAGCTGGAGAAGCATGTCTACAGGAAATCTGTTCCCATTCTGCAGTTTCTTCCACACTGAAACAACGTCACTTACAAATAAAAGTTTATCCCTCCTTGAGCTCCCTCGTAAAAGCCTCCATGGCACAGAGACTTTTATGAACGGTTAATAGGAACTATCAAAAGATCATTGAAAAAATCTCTACACCGTCAAAAAATCAATCTTGAAGAACTCCAGACAGTCGTCGCAGAAATGGAATTCACGGTGAACAACCGGCTGTTGACATACTTGTCTGATGATCCTACTCAACATGGGACCCTTAAGCCATGCCCACTTAATGTATTAAAGACCTCTGACTCCAGTATCATCTCTAGTGGATGATGAGATCAGACATCCCTCATATGTGGGACAGAGCAAGCTGGTTCTGGGGTATAAGAATCTGTCCAGACTAATCCAAAAATGGAATGATGTTTGGACAAAAGAATATCTTACATCTCTACGAGAACATCACTATAGGGTGAATATCCCTCATAATAAATCTAATCTCCAACCTGGTGATATTGTCTTTGTAGACTGTGATGGTCTGAGAGTTGAATTGCCATTGCGTAAAGTCGCCTATGTCCATCCGTATAGCCAGGGGTTTTGTGAATAGTCAAGATTCTGTCTAAAGGAACTACTTCCCTAAAGACATTGGACAAACTTATCCACATGGAGTCTGTGAGTCAGTTACAGTCAGTTCCTGGGAGACCCCCAGAACCTTTTACTCCAGATGACTCACAGACATCAAACAGCCACATACGTCCACAACAGAAAGCAGCCTATAAGTGCAAACAAAATTTGCACTTGTTTTATCAATCTGATTCAGAGTAAATGAACATATATGGACACAGGTGATCCTATATGTTAGACTCTGGGCCAGTTCTCTCCCTCTGGAAGAGGTAACACCTGATATGACTGCTCAATCTCTTATCCAGGCTATGTGGAAAATTACACTCACGTATCTATACTATTCTCTAAGGAATGTAATATTTTTATAACATATCTACATCTTACATCAGAATCATACCTCTACTAATGATTTAAGAATCATCAGTATCTACATCAGAAGCCTTCATGACCATTTGGTCAAGTACCCCATTGGGCTTAATGCCTTTTTAACATTGTACATGTGCTCACAAGAATCTAGATGCTTCCAGGAGTAAGTGATAATCAACAAATGTTGTTGGAACAAAATCCTGGAATAATAGATTCCAGTGATGTGTTTTCTAAATCCTTAATAAAGAAAAAATTGTACTATTAAGTACTGTCAATAATCTTTAAATCCACTAGTTGTTTATCTTGTGATATTTTTTTATCATAATAATCAGTCTAAATAATGAAAATAATCAAATTATAATCATTGCCGGCACCTCCACTGACCAGAATGGTGTAGTACCTGATCATCCTGTGTTAACATGGAGGTGGCGCACGTGTGCAGTGTTTGAGGACAGTTTCAGGTGACACTACCTCACAAACTACTTATCTAATCCACACGGGATCCGTGTGAGGGCAGTAGCACTCCAGGTTGCAATTTTTTTTACCATGTCGTGGCACAGTCGAGTAAGGTGCGTCTGGGATCATCCCAGACGTAGGTTCGAATTCTCATCACGGCCCTTGTGGATTTGTTCATTTACTTATCTAATCATCAGTAATCACTTCCTAGATATTCGAGGAGTCCCTGATCAATAATCTAAGCTACAATTCCTCAATAAGAACTCATATTAAGAGTAGTGAGAATGAACTCATGTACCCCGAGACCTACCACGCTTCCACCATCATTGGAAGCGTGATGGTGGAAGTAATCTGTATAAACCATCATAATCTTTAGCACGGCTACAAGTATCCATCCTACAGCAAACACTGCAGAAACAGCAGAAACTCAATCAACATCAAGCGGCCACACTACCATTAAAATATAGTCTGGTCTCAGGAAGAGAGACATCATCTGGCTACTATCAGACAGGCTCCGGTTCTCAATTCATGATAAGCTTTTAATCGTTTTAAAGCGTAAATTGGCCAATTAGCATAATTTATGACATTAATACATCTATATAAATAAAAATGGAAATGTTCGTTTGTTCAAAATCGCTAATCTCCGAAAGTTCTTCACCGATTGCTTTGAAATTTTCACACAACGTTCCAGTCGCATCCGAGCAGGTTTTTATATACATACCATATAGATGTCACGTCTGTGACGGTAAAAAAAATATTTTTCTGAGAAACTATGTTTTTCATGTGTTTTTGCTATGAGGGGAAATCTTCAAAACCTCTTTACCGATTGCTTTGAAATTTTGACACAACGTTGCATTCGAATAGCCGCGTCCTTTTATATATCTACTATATACATGCCTTGCCTGTGACAGGAAAAAACATGCTTTTTTGAAAAACATTGTCATCTGTTGCACATAATAGCAACTTGCAGGCTATACTAAATATGCCACGAATTCCATTTCAGTGTTTCCGATTGCATTGATAAATTTTATTTTCATAGATTTCGATTTATTTTATTTTTTATTGAATTATTTTGTGTGACATTGTGTTTTAATTGAGCTGTGATGTTTACCATACCGTTCGTTTCATAAGTATAAGTATAGATGCAACACCTGTGACAGGTAAAACTATACTTTTCTTGAAAAACAGCGACATCTGTTGCATGTAAGAGCAACACAAAAGCTATACTAAATATGTTACAATTCCATTTCAATGTTTCTGATTGTATTGATAAATTGATTTTTCATAGATTTTGATTTATTTTCATTTTGTTTTAATTATTGTGTGAATTGCATTGGAATTGAGTGTGTTTTTTACTGTACTGTTCATTTCGTGAGTATAGTTTATTTTTTCATTTATTTCATATTTTCATTTCATTTTGTAACTGTTTTTCTTATATTTCAGTGATGGGAACATCAGATCACTTGATATTCCCAATTTTCTGATGGGAACATCAGATTATTTGGGAAGGCATTGGACGAGAGAGTGGGGAATGGTGGGGATGATTAGGGGACGGAAGTGAGAGACGGTGGGGAGGACGAGGGGACAAGGGAGGGGGTAATGATGGGGAAGGACGAGGGGACGGGGGAGTTTGAGATGGTGGGCACGAGGGGATTGGGGAATGGAGAATGGTGGGGAGGACAAAGGGACAGGGGAGTGGGGCATGGTGGGAAGGAAGAAGGGATAGTGGAGCGGGGAATGGTGGGGGAGGACGAGGGGACGGTGGAGTGGGGAATGGTTGGGAGGCCGAGGAGATGGGTGAGGGGGGGGGAATAGTGGGGAGGACTGGGGGAGAGGGAAGATTGCTGTGGCTCTTGTTGGGCAGAGAAGCAACGACTCATCATCAGTAAGTTCTGACTTTACACATGAAATAACTGAACTTCTTATATTACTGAATCCATCATATAAATTTAAATATATATAGTTATCATGTGTGTATAATATTTTATTTGCTCATTACATATACATTATTCTTGTATAATTATACCTTGCAGTGTGCCACAGCACAGATATTCCAAGGACTCTGTTAGAGTGTGTATGTCGTTCAAATCCTAGATCATGAACCTTACCAGTGTTTGCAGTGATAGAACTGTTTTTTATCAATTTATTTTTGTAAAAATGACAATCTAAATATGTTGGTTCTGCAATCCAAATGTGAACCAATTGTGGTTCTGCAATTGATGACCTAAATCAGCCTTAAGGACCCTACCTGCTACAGCTCATTACCAGTATTAAGGTCACAGAGGAGTGTACTTACAACCCAGCATAGGAGCCTTACCTTCAGCTAAGAGAGCTTATTTGTGTTGAATTTTTGTAATCATTTACAGTAATTATTAAGTTACCAAATTTTTTACCCCATTTTTCGTCCAATTCTCCTCATTCATCTTATCCTGGTATTCCCCCCACACCCATCAATTGCTTGTCAGTGACTGGGGTAGACAGTTGGGTCTATGAACTGTTGCAAGCCTGCTGGCCCTGTACCCGAGTGTTAGACGCTATAGTGTAATATAACATTAGGGAACAGCTGAGAGAAAAACAAAAAACAATGACCGATAGAGCAGTAGAAAGGAAAGAATCAGAGAAGACAGGAAAAAAGAATGAGCAATGAACAATAATGAAAAGGAACGTCCAAAAGAAGTAAACACTGCTACATGAAACATATTAACATCATTAGAGGTCCAGATGAAAAAGAAACAGCTGAAAAATGCCAACACCATAACAGAGTTTAAGGAGCATATAGAATCGCAAGCAAGAGATGTGGAGGAGAGTAGACAGCACAATGAGAAGATGACGGAAGAACTACAAGCAGAGGCAGCTTCACTAGGAAGGTAGGTAAAGGAAATCCGAGAAAGGGAGAGAGAGGATACACCTGGATAAGGTCATTGTGAATCAAATTGAAAACCTTTACAAGATTGAGGAACTCAGTGTAGCTACCTAGAAGAACTTAGAGGAGTTGAGGGAAATAAACTACAAAAAAGAGCAGAATGTGCATGGGATTCAGGCTAATAAAGTCAGTGGAAGAGGAGGGAAAGGCACCAGCGGAGGCAAGAAGGACAACAGAACAGATGATTATAAACATTGAGAATGTAACAGACAAATGGGAAACAAGACATGACAAAATATTTGCTGAAGTTGCTAATGTGAAAGTAATCTTTCAGAGTAATACACCAGTGGAGATTGTTGTCAAACTGTCAAACTATGAACAAACTATGAGAACAAACAAACTATGGGAACCATAGGTTGAACAAATCAAATTAACGAAAATGGTGATATATTTATGTATCATAAAGAATAATTGTAGTTCAGAAACTATTGTTTTATATGCTCACTGGTAGTTTGAAGCATGCAAACGTCAATCACTATATTAAGAAATACAGGTAAATGGAATTTGAAATATGTGATGCAGTTGATTAATTACAACTTGAGCACAAGGTTTTGATTACGTACATGTAAAAACTGCACATTAGCAGAGTCTTTCTCCCATATGGTGATCACTGAGCGGTCGTCCAACACATCCCGGAGAGACTGGTAGGGCTGAGGGATGTACTTCACAGCCAGGAGAGCCATGAGGTTGCCGACATAGCTCTGGGTCAGCACCACTGTCACCAGCCCCCACACTGCCAGCACCACCCGCTCCCACCACCAGTCTGCTCCGGAGTCCAACACATCTATGCAAGGAATGTGTGTTAAATAGTATTATGGTATACTTTTTCGTTCAGGAAATGGCATTCCTTAAAATAACTCTTCAAAGTATTCTTTAAAATAACTCTTTAAAGCAATCTTTAAAATAACTCTTGAAAATTTCTATTTCATAAAAAGCAAAGTTAAACAATTTTATATTATGCATCTTACAACATAGTTTTGGCAAATGAAACTAAACAGGCTTAATCTTGAGCAAATTAAGATTTATTCATCAAAATTCGAATGAGAAATTCAAAGGTACGTGGATTTCACGAACGAGATGACAGGTTTTCAATATGAGCCACGCCTGTGACAGGGCCCACTGGTAATGAGTCCGCCGTGTGCTCAAATGTGGCATGGCGATTATCTTCACCCCAAATGTGAACATTATGCTTGTTGACTTTGCTAGTCATATGAAATGTGGCCTCATCCCTGAAAACAAGAAATTATTCAAACTCATCTTCTTCAAGTTTCTCAAGCATATCAACACAGAATTGCTTGCACTTTTGCTTGTCCTCAGTCTTTAAGGCATGAACAAGCAGTAGCTTGTAGGGTGTCGTTAGCAAGCGTTTCCTTGCGACACCCCCAAACTGTTTTTGAAGGACTCTGGGTTTCCGGACTTGCTCTTCTTATGGACGTTCTAGAGCTTAGCAAAAATGTTTTCTGAACCCGCTGGACCATCTTTTCTGATACTAGTGGTTGTCCAGATCCTTTTGTCTTGCATGGACAGCCTTCCTCTTTGAATTTTTTTGTGTCATGTCCAAATCTACTTTGCAGTTGGGGGATTTGTAGTGAATTTTCTCACAAGTGCATGCTGCACAGTCTTGTTCGACTGTGTTCCAGCTGCACAGTCTTGTTCGACTGTGTTCCAGCTGCACAGTCTTGTTCCATTGTGTTCCAGCTGCACAGTCTTGTTCGACTGTGTTTCAGCCGCACAGTCTTGTTCGACTGTGTTCCAGCTGCACAGTCTTGTTCGACTGTGTTCCAGGTGCGCAGTCTTGTTCGACTGTGTTCCAGCTGCACAGTCTTGTTCGACTGTGTTCCAGCTGCACAGTCTTGTTCGACTGTGTTCCAGGTGCGCAGTCTTGTTCGACTGTGTTCCAGCTGCACAGTCTTGTTCGACTGTGTTCCAGGTGCGCAGTCTTGTTCGACTGTGTTTCAGCCGCACAGTCTTGTTCGACTGTGTTCCAGCTGCACAGTCTTGTTCCACTGTGTTCCAGCTGCACAGTCTTGTTCCACTGTGCTCCAGCTGCACAGTCTTGTTCCACTGTGTTCCAGCTGCACAGTCTTGTTCCACTGTGTTCCAGCTGCACAGTCTTGTTCCACTGTGTTCCATCATACTCTAACACACAAACCGAATTTTCTTTTCCAGTGAATGGCATTTCTTTAAACGAAAAGAAATAAACATAGAAATTTTGACTTCTTTCTATATATGCTGTTAAAAGTTTAGATAACTTGAACGAGAATTGGTCGAGTTACTAGATTACGAAATTATGTAAAATTTTCTGAAACACCCTTTATTCTCGAGCAGAATAATGAAATTCTTGATGGTTGTGAATGTGCCAACGATTTCAATGAAGAGGAATAGATTACTGGCATCGAACTATTAGGCATTTTGCTCGATGTCTGTTGTGCAAAAAATTTCAGAATCGATAATCACCATTGCAAATCATACTCACCTTTAAAACCCATTGTAATTAGGGACTGTCACTCATATTTTTTATGGGTTTATATATTGAGAGTGAAAAAAAGAATTATTCATAGATTTCCATAAAGACTACGGAACTGTCGAATGGCACAGTGAAAGACTGATAAGAAAGGGTGAGGTATAATATTTGATTAGAGTCTGAGTATATCTCAGTAAATTAAGGGTCAGCGTAAATTCAGTCATATTAACGTGATGTGCCAAAGGGCTTGCCCAGGGGGGCATGTGATCAGTATATAAATAATCGATTGAACATCATCATCAACTTGAATCCGGCTATTTTTCGGCCCATTTATGGACATAGGTAGGGAAACATTGATTTAATTTATTATTTTATTTGCTCCAGTCATAAAGAATACTTTTTTATTGATTCTAACGCTAGACTGGTGTTTCGAGTGATATTTGATATTTAAATAATATATTTTCTGGTGGCGTGGCAATCATTTCTTGTTTTTCTCCAGGAAAATGCCACAAGTCTAATATTATTGGCATGGGTAAATAAAATAATGTGTTAATTTCTTAATACAAAAACAACAGCATATTAGCTGCATTTTGTATTAAAAATAATTAAAGGATGTCAGTTTTTCTGGACATAATTCTGAGGGGGAGAAACACGGGTCACAGTCCATTGTTTAGAACTGACGAGCATTGATACTCCTCCTCAGAATTACAGTGGTACCTCGACTTACGACAACCCCTACTTACGAATTTTTCAGGAAAATGCGACTTACGACCTTTGCCTCGACTAGTGACTATGTTGATATGTGTATGGGTTGACCAATCGAGTGGTTCCTGGTTGTACGGCCGAATCTGCCTCAGTTTACCAGAGCCTCTCGTTTAGTGATGATCGTGCTTGTTAAGAATTTCATTATTTTTCTTTTAACATTAAAGCAATTATTATATCACGCCATGGGTCCCAAGAAAGTCAGTGGTAAGCTTCAACCTAAGAAAACACATGTGAGGATGACCATAGAGCAAAAACAAGAGATCATTCATAAACATGAAAATGGTATGAGGGTTGTTGATGTAAAGTAGAGGATGTCCCTTCCTCATTTATTAAGAAAATGTGTGCAGTATGGGAAGAACTGCAAAGTTTTGCTGAAAAGTGTCACCCAAATCAAGTTGTAGCAGCCCGTTATGTTAACCTTTATAATGACAATGTCTCACTTTAGACAAGTGTTACAGCGCAGGGAAAAGCAAGTGTCGCTAGACATGATTTTAGTTAGAAAAACAAGTAGTGAGCCACAAGCAGGTCCTAGGAGTATGCAGACAAAACGTAGGAAAGAGAGTACTCCCCAGAGAAGTCATCACTGCCTGATGTTATAATGGAAGAGGACACCCCCTTCCAAACACTAACACCTCTCCTCCTCACTATCTTCCATACGCCAACAAGAGTCCTCATTCCAGGTAAGATATTCAAACTGTACTGTATTATAGCTAGTACAAAATGAGTGTTATTTGGTATAAAATGTATTCTTAAGTTAATATTTTTTAAGGTTGTGGAACGGATGAAATTGAATTTACATTATTTTTTATGGGAAAATTCGTCTCGACTAGAAACGAATTTTCGACTCTCGACCCTTCTCTGGGAACGGATTAAACTTGTAAGTTGAGGCCCCACTGTATTAGATTAATTTGATGTTAGTAGTAGTTAATTACACATTTGTGTGTCAGTTTGTGCAGGACGGATGACCCATACTAGAGTTGAAGGGGTTGGAAGTCTGTAGGCGATTTCATTTACCTGCTAACTCTTGTGAGGATAAATTTCCTAGCCTAATTAAATTATCTTTAATCTAGAGGACTGAATGTGATCAATTATTACAATGAAGTATGCTTCTGGGACTGCAGTGGGTTCAGTGACATTGGTCGTAGTGACGTGTAGCTTGTTTAGGCTACTGGTCACTGATTAGCCACTGAGGCCTATTTTCCTCAGGCCCATTTAGTCTCTCGGCTAAATAATAATTGTATTAAAATCAGTCGTTGGATTTATATTGTCAGCTAAGCTCCCTTGTGCTAATTTCCTGGAGTTTATTTTGCGGATAAAATTGGTAATTATTTTAGCCTAATTAATTTAGAGGATTTAATGTATTCAGTCTTTAAAGTGAAGGTTGGCTCTTGAGACTGCATCGGGATCAGTGGCATTGGTTGCAGTAGTTGATTATGCTTTATCTGCCAATTTTATTCCTCCCTTTTATAGGAATTTGGCAATAGCTCCTAGGCCCTTTACTTGTAGGTCCGTTGGGAATGTATCCACCACGATGGCTTGTATTTGACGGACGTAGCTGCCTAAACGTTCTGATTAATGGTTGAGCCACTTGGTAGACTTGAGGTCCTATATCAGCCAGAAACCCTGATATATTTAATGTCACCAGGTACATTATTTATCACCTGAGTAATTATGTACAGACTTTAATTGTAGATCATCCGCCACTTGTTTAGTGACAAACGTTCTGGCACCCTTGGTCAAACAACCCTCGGGTTTGGACCCTTGCGATTTTAGTTTTGATGTTAAGTTGATGGCAAAGTTGCATTATGTCTTAACTTTATCGATAGGACACTGATTTTCTGTTGCACCTTGCAGTACTGAACTGTAGTAGGAATGTTATCTTACACCTTTGGGTTAAGAGACATTATTTTCGTGTCTCCGCACAATGCTGCATGATCCTAACTCCTGTTACATCTTTTGCAGGTGTGTGCAGTTGGGTCTCATTCGTTGACGTTGTGCTTCCTGAGGCACCTTGTGAAATTTTGCAATTCTTTGAGTCACTTGACATGCGCCTCACGATCAGTATAATTGGTGCAGTGGTACATAGAATGTTCTTGGTAGAATAAACATGTTCCATAGCTTACAGCACCTTTTGGAGTCACCGCCTTGGGTGGCCCAGTAACTGTAGACTTGGGGTGCCCCACTGCATAAGTGCCCACACTGCCTTGGTTCCACTTTGGGGAGGAAATAGATTGTTTAGATTTAGTCGGAGTACTTGTTGTACCCTTTTGTTTACTATTATTGGTTTCTGAAGGTTTACTTGGTCGTTTTAATTTGTCCTGTGTACGTAATTGAACTACTGAACGTAAACTCTCTGATATTTCACATAACAATAAATACTTGTATTGTAGATAGTACTCATTTGTCTCAGTATGTCCCTAGATATTTTCTCCTTATGCTTATTTCCAAGATCCACTCAGTTTCGGTCATAATGACTGTTAGGCTGAGGGCCTTGATCATGGATTCTACCTCCAGCTTATAGCCTCCGGTGAGGATAAATACAACAGCTCATGAAT